TGGAAAATAATTTGATAGGGCTGCTATCAAAATAATTAAAGCCTCACCTCATAACTCATCAAAAATTACAATTGAAGTATTCGAAAACCTTTACATCGATCATCTCGATTTGAACATTATGGTTACGAAATAAAATTAAGATCTCAAGCTCTAAAAATAGTGTATGTTATAACAAATTATCTAAACCATCCATTTCACCTTAGATGTGCATGATCTATACCATTTTCTAAGTTTGAAATTTTATTGTCGGCGTTAAAAATTGATTTTAAAGCTATAATGGAGATTTCTTTTGCTGAAAGTGTTTTATGGATGAGGATTTAATGTGAGGCTTTATTTTGTTTTCATAAAGCCTAGGCCGTATAGAAATTCTATCCTTTAATTATTTATGTTACTTTTGCTTAGTTTTTACTAATTTAAATATTTTTTTACCTCCTCTATTTTTTTTACATTTGCCCATGGTTTACATTACTCAGCGAGTCCACTCACCCAAATAACTTGCCTCAGGCCAATGGCAAGTTCATGGCCACAAGCTGTTCTAGGAACATAGGTTAAGAAACAACTAAAGCCTGATTGTTATTTATTATTATTCATCTCTAATATCAATCTAACATGGACAAAATTTATATAACTTTGCAACCTTATATTGTAGAAGTAAGGTACTTTTCAAAAATCTAGTAGAAAAGAGTGTCTTAAAGTTAGAAAACCTTCCCACTAATCACCTCTTCTTCCAAATATATATGGATAAAAAAAAAAAGAGAATTTTATATCCTAAAAAAAATACATCTTGTGACAAGCTACTTAGATGTCATCATAAAGTTTTTGAAACGAAAACTACATCTTTCATCATAATTTAGAGGCGTGCCTTACTTGTTAATATAAAGTAGATAACTTTTACAAAGTCCACCCATCTAAAAATAATGGCACAAAACTCAAAAAATTCTCCAAATTAAATTCTACTACTAGAATCTTGGGGTTTGAGACTAATGATCGTTCCCTTTGACATTAATCATAAGGTAAACCCGGGATGAATTGATAATTTTCAAGTGGTAAAATCCAACTAGGTGTTTTGCACGAACCCATGGCACAACTTGATCTTGTACGACCGCGAAATACCTAGAAAGGTTTTCTGTGAGAACCCATGGTCAAACACCATTATAGGCCCATAAAGACCCCAAATACTTTCAAATGGTATATTTCCATCTCCATGATCATTTGTGTAAAACGAAAAAAAAATAGAAAAAGTATAGAATGATACCACTTACTTTTAGTACAAAGTGAGATATAAATCTTGACTAGAGGATATGAAATTGGGTTGATATAATTATTCCATTGATCAAACTCAAACTTCAAAAGCAATTTTTTCGAACTTTATGACACATCCAAACTATCAAACTTCACATCAGTTGGTTGTAAGTAATTGTGACCACCTTATCAAAAGTAAATAGTCTCATTGTATACAATCCCAAAAAAAAAAGAGAATACAATGAGACCATTTACCTTTGATATAAGGAGGTCACAATTACCTATAATCATCCGATCTGAAATCTGATAGCTTGGGTGTATCATAAAGTTTGAGAAATTTTTTTTTGAATTTTAAGCTTAATCAATAAAATAAATGCAAGTACGAATCTTGAACAAGCATATGATGGACCATAAAATC